TTAATGACAGTGAAACCACCAGATTTAGGCTAGTATCCTAGCCCCCTGAAGCACCGCCTGAGGAAAAAGATGTAACTGAAAGGAAAACAAAGATGAGAAGAACAGCTAGACCAAACAAGTGTGTGTACACACAGACACACACATAGTCCCTGCTGGAAGCAAGACCATTTTGAGGGTGTTCAGGGGTTCATTTTCAAGATTTATGAAATATAACAAGTGTTTGAGAAACAAATCAAAGGCCTAACTAACATTAAAAAAAGGTAGCTGAAAAGATCTTGGTAACTCCTGAACCACAGGGCTATTTTCCTCTCTCTACAAAATTTTGGTGAAAATAATTTACAAACACATCTTGAGCAAACAATATCCTATAACAGATTACATCTTTACAATCAGTTCTCTACAAATGACTGAGTTGTAGAGAATATACGATCACTTTACTTAGCTTATGGTCTCTAAAAAGTAACTGACTCAGTAGAATCACCTTAAAGGCTCTCCTTCATGATTCCTTGAAAGACACAACAGCAATGTTGTTCCATAGTTTTTCAGTTGTGTCTGACTCTCTGTGACCCCATTTGGTGTTTTCTTGGCAAAGATCTTGGAGTGATTTGCCATCTCCTCATCCAACTCATTTTACATATGAGGAATTGTGGCAAACAGGGTTAACTGACTTCCCCAGGGTCACACAGCTAGTAAATATCTGAGGCCAGATTCGAACCAAGGAAGTTGAGTCTTCATGACTCCAGGCCCAGAACTCTACGCACTATGGCACCACCTAGCTAACAGAGATACCTTGGTTCGAACAACCTCTCTGACATAAAACAAGACATAGGCTCACAAGAGGTGTTTGCTGCTGTCATTTATGGTGTCCAGCACAAATTCTAAATGGAAAAGGATTACTACAAATTTTTTCAGATGCTGTTTTGCAAATTACAATGTACTGAATGCTGAAGTCTCCTAACTTGATTCAAAAATCCCTCAAAAGAATTAAACCTATCTATAAAAGAAAAACCCAGTGGATTAAGAATGCCTCTTGTCCAGACAATATGCAGCTCACAGAGCTGTCCATCAGTACGAACATCTTGTACAGTAGGCAGACAAAGAACTAGGCCCAGAATTGAAGAGGAGGAAATGAGTAGGCTGGAATGCATTTGGGAAACTATGTGGTGCTTTTATGAGCCAAACTGCTCCCTAAAACAAAAGCCCATTTTTTTCCTAACAGTAATATTCCTCTAATGAAACCACAGGAGTATGAATCCTGGGATGCCAATGTGTCTTAAGAATATACATTTCATGTCACCAAAAGGCAATGGGGAAATGCATAATGACAAGATACTGAGGCTGTAGCATACCAACAACAAATGAGTGCACACAAGAAGTGGCATAAAAGATATCCAAGAGATAGATAACTTGCTAGAAAGGAGGTGGGCAGATCATGTAACATGAGAGAAGGTTAAGAGGTGGACAGATTGTGTGCTATCCTGATACTCAAGTAATGTCAACAGACAAGGACAAAGTCCACCAGCATGCTAGGTAGAGAGCCCTTGGTGGAGAATTTACAGGAGGAGATAAACTTGTCCTGCAGGGTGCAAAGGCATGGATGGGTTACTACACAACAGGGGGGAGCACACACAGAAGAAATTCCTTATGAGGAAAAAAAGTTTTTCTCAACAGCCGTTCATTTCTGGATGCTTAGCCAAAAACAAGTTTAACAAACAACATCATACATATTATATAAGTTAAGTAGCCATCAGGAAACTGTGCTATATAACCTAGAAACAGGCTATACAGAGTTTGATTCATACAGAAGTACCATTTAGAAATCACTGATTTTCAAAGAATTAGAATACAATATATACACTTGGTGCCAAAACAAAAATGGACATACGTGAATTTTTCTTCTATGACTTAGAAGGCATTTTAGGATCTTGAAGATAGGTATCTTGGCTTCAATATGACAAATATCAATTATTATCATACTAAAAATGTACAAACAGCTGTTTGAGAGACTGCTGGATAAAAGAGATTTAATTGTAGGTTAATATTTTAACTATAGCTCTTTATATATCCCTGTATTAAAAAAGAAATACATCAAAGATCCCAAAGTGTCTGTCATCACAGACAATATTCCATAAGCCTAGGTGTAGAGGCCTTAGGTCCTACAGGCCTTACTTTCAAAAGATCATCTTTTTTAATTAGCATCTTCTGAAGTTAAAAAGCGAACCCCAACTGAAAAAAAAAGTGATTAGAACATGTGAGGGTTTCAATTGAGGTTATAGGAAACCAAAAATCACAAAAAGAATAAAGATTTTTGTTACGTACCGGAGAGGAATCACTATGAAAATTTTCCTTTACCTTTTAAAATAAAGTTTGATATGAAGAAAGTCATAGATTTTTAGAGCTGAAAAAATCTGAGAAGTCACCTATTCCAACTTCCTCTCTTTGCAGAGGAGGCTACTGTGAACAGAGAGCTGAGATGACTTACCCCTGGTCCCACAGTGACCTGCTCTTTGCAATATTAGAGGACTTGTCCCCTTATTATTTCAGTATCTGGAGAAAAAAAGACTGGAAAACATCAAGTATGTAAAATATTTAAAATGGGACAGTGATCAACAGTTTTCTACCTTTATTAAAAAAACAAAACAAAACAAAACAAGAAATGAGAATTGTTATAAGGAAAAGTTTAAGGAGATTGTAGAATACCTTTACTTGAGGACCTTTAAGAATAAGGTTATGGACTTTCTCAAAGAGAAAGGATATGCTTGTTCAGTGAAATTATGACTAGTGCATAGTGTGGTGAATAGTTTTGTTAATTAAATCTTATAATACTCTTCTTCCTGTAATAGGTCTAAGTTTAGGACAAAAGAAAGTTTTGCATATGGAACTAATTTAATTATTAATTAATCAGTCGATATGAAAATTCTATACAAATAGTAGATTACTAAGGCTCATTATTTAAGCAGTGGTATAGGTTGATAAGAAATTCTGGATTACATGCTGAATACATGATGATTACTGAAACAAACTAACTAGAATGTTTGCCCTGGTTTAAGTACTCCTGGTGACAAAGAACTGCAGTGAACTAGAAAAATCTCCTGAGGTCACCCACAGAATCCCAGAATTTAAGAGATTCTAAAGCAGCCTATACAGAAAAAAAAGGGGGGGGTGAAATATGACTGAATTTAGATTAATTTTTTAAACTATGCCAAAAATTTTTGCTTTTATACATATAAATAATTTTCTTCAATACTATAAATATAAATAGCTCAGATAATCATTATAGCACTGATACTAAAATACATGAATTAATTCTCAAAAGGACAAAAATAATTTTCAACTCCATTGTCTCTGAGCTAGACACAAAGAGGAATCCGGACTTGTTAGCACAACTGGTTTAAAGCACTGGCCAAAGTTGTGAATTTGGTAACTAGACTAGAGAAACCATCCCATAGATCACACCCCTATTATTACCCAACTGTTTTGGAAATGTGCAGTTAGGGTAACTATGAACTGCTCAGTTCAGAACTTATCACGAGGGGCAGCTAGGTGGTGCAGTGGATAAAGCACCTGCCCTGGAATCAGGAGGACCTGTGTTCAAATCCAGCCTCAGACACATGATACTCACTAGCTGTGTGACCTTGGGCAAGTCACTTAACTCCAATTGCCTCACCAAAAAAAAACCAAAACAACTTATCATGACTATGGAAAAAACAACTAAAATCACCTGTCCTACAGACAAAGGATAAGTAGTAGCTCAGTATAGGAGAAACAGAAAATGAGACAAATGCTTTATTATTTTCAATTCAAACATAAGAACTGTCATACTGGATCATACCTGTGATCTATTCAGTTTTGGGGTCTGTTTCTAACAATGGCAACAAAGAAACATGAAAGGGGATGGTTCTCTCTGAGATCACGGCCATATTCCAAAACATCCCAGTTTGTTTTAATAATCATCATGTATTCAGCATGTTAATCAAAATTTCATATCAACCTACACCACCACTTAAATAATGAGCCTTAATCATCCACTATTCGTATAAAATTTTCATATCAAGTGGCTGATAATAATTGAATTAGTTCCACACGAAAAACTTTCTTTTGTCCTAAACTTAGATCTATCACAGGAAGAAGAATATTACAAGAGTTAATGAACAAAACTATTCACCACTCTACACACTAGTCATAATTTCACTGAGAAAACATACCCTTCACTCAGTTTTCTTTGTTAGAACCAGAATCTGAAACATTTTAAATTGGCTAGTTTAGAAAAGCCCTTCCATCACCTTGATCACTTTTGTCACCTTTCTCTGGACATCTTTTTTTAGATACAGAAACCAGATAGAATATTTTGATTAGGTTTCTAATTTCTGGCGTCAGAATTCCAGGGCATATGTTCTAAGAAGGATCCCACATTAAAACATCAGAGGAAAAACACTGAGTAAATACACATTTAAAGCAGTCATGTTACAATCTAGGTATTTTTTACTTACTGCCTATTCCTTCACTTCATTTAGAGTTGAAAGGGACCTTAGAATTCACTCTAGTTCAACTGCATTTTGCAGATGAGAAAATGAAGGCTCACTTCAATTCACCAACCATTAATTAAGCACCTGTTATTAAGATAACACCATGATCTGGTGGAATGAGCCCGAGTCAGGAAGACCTAAGATCAAGTGCTACCTCTGACAAGTGCTGGTTTTATGACCCTAGACAAGTCACTTAAACCCAGGTAAGACTATAAATTGCCAAAGTTGCCACTCTGCACATAGGGAGTTTGTTTCCTACTCCAAAGAAATCACACATCTAGGAAAAAAACAAAGAGGTATTTCCCAAATCACAAACATAGAAACATTACAAACAATACTTCTCCACATACTGCCTCATAGTTCCTAAAACCTAAAAGGTCACTCTTGAATCTCTGTACACACAGCCTCTCTTTCACATCCATCCCCTTCTTTTTACTCCACACCTGCCCCCATCCTAGGTCAGCCCCTCATTACCTCTTCCCTGAAGCCTTGTGGTAGGTCTCCCTACCAGCAGTCTCTTCCCTTCTCCAATCCATCCTTCAAACTAGAGCCAAAATAAATCTTCTGGACTGATCACATTTATTCCCCTGCAGCATCTGTGGCTCCTGAATGCCTACAAGATTAAACAAATAAAAGCCTCTTTAGCCTAACATACAAGACTCACTACCATCTATCCCTCCCCAAATCCGTTCCCTAGTACCTTTTCAAAGTTTGCACTACTTATCCTCCAAATGTGGCCTCCTTTTCCACCTCGGCATTTGCACCCTCTGTTTCACCCTCTCTAAGTCAGCAAGACTGTCCTCCACATTTCCATCTGATCAGTTCCACAAACATTATTAAGTACCTCCTCTAAAAAGCACCTACTTTGCTAAACACTAAAAAAAAAAAAAAAAAAAAATAGAAAGTTTAAATAAGCCATGATGAGCTTATTTAAATAAGCCATGATGGGTTTTTCCATCAAGGCCCAGCTCACCTACCCCATTTCACAAAGCATTCCCCAAAAAGCCTACATAAAATTTATCGGGAGATTTGTAATGTTTCTATGGGACAAATCTCTCATCTTTGTTTGATTTCTCTTATGGGCCAGAAATATATGGTACAGTGCAGAACAGGATGGACTATGATGAAAGGAGGCCAGAATTCAAAGTCTACCTCTCTAACAATGAGTAAATCACTGATCTTAGGAACTCAGTTTACTCAACTGTAAAATAGGGACACAACTACTTGACTATTTACTTCACAAGCGTGTAGTGAGGAAACCCCAGCAAACTTAGTGTATTATTATTAACTGTATTCTGAATTGTATTCTAGTCATTTGAGTAAGTTATTTCACTAACTTGTACACATTTTTGCCCACCTTTGTGTTCTCTAAAGCCCAGCTCAGCATCTTACAAGAGGCAAGATACTTAAATATTTACCCAACTGAAAGACTTTGGAATAACAATGGCAGACTCAGGATCACAGTGGCTGATTTAAAATTCTGCTCTTGAAATAATTTAATTCAACTAACACTTATTAATTAAGGGAGCTCCACAACCGGCTAGTATCTCATAAATCAATAAGCATTCTGTGCTAATGTATTTGTATCTGGCCCATTTCATGCTAACATTTCCTGTCACCCATTGTTCATGTCAGGGCCTAATCTGCCTCCTGGAACCTTCATTCTTTCAAAACAAATCATTTAGCAGTTCACCTCATCTAATTCAACATCACTGGTGCTAAAAGATGACATTTAAAAATTAAGAGCAAAACTAATACAGGTGAACAGGATTTCAGTCAAGTCCACACAGAACAGAGATTCTTCACCTTTCTCCTGTATTGGACCCCTTCAGCCCAATCTGGTGAAGCCCATGGAGCTCTTCTCCACGTTTTTAATCATGTTTTTAAATGAATAAAATTAAATATCTAATATTACAAAGGAAACTAATTATACTAAAAGACAGTTATCAAAATATAAAACAATCACAAATTCACAGACCTCTACGATAAGACCTCTGACAAAGAGGAAGAAAGAAAATATTCATTTTTAAAAATAAACCAGATTTCCTAAAAATCATCACAAGATTCTAGATTCAAAGCACGAAGGCCCTTAACAGTTATCTAATCCAACCCCCTCATCTTACAGCTAAGAAACCTGAAGCCCAGAGATGTTAACTGACTGGCTCAAAGTCCTACACATAGTAAATAAAGGAGCCAGGATGCAAATCTTGGTCCTCTGGTTCCAAATAGCAGGTGCTCTTTCCAGGAAGCAACAGTTTTCTTTGAAGACCAGATTATAGTATTTTAAAGTTAGACGGAATCTTAGAAACAGATCAAAGAATCTCAGAGTTAACAGATCACAAAAAAGTCAATAAGCCTAAGCCTCTATAAAATTTCATACAAGTAGGAATACAGCCTTTGCATGAGACCCTCTGGGAAAGGCACTCACTTTCCTTGAGGCAGACCATTCCACTTGAGGATAGCTCTAATTGTTAGCACGGTTTTTCCATAGAGAAAATCTAAATCTCTCTCTCTCTGCATCTTCACCCACTGCTCCAAGTTATGCTTCCTGGGACCAAATGGACCATATCTAATCTCTTTTACACGACACAATCCCTTGAGATAACTGAACACTGCTATCCTGTACCTCACTCCCCCACAGCCTTTTCTTCTCCAGGCTAAACATCCACAATTCCTTCCACCAGTCCTCCAGTGCGATACCCTCCAGTTCCTTCACCATCCTGGATAACCTCTTTTGGCCTTCTGGTTCTCAAAGATAAGAGACAGTGTTTTATGGTGGACAACACAATGAACTTGGATCCAGAAAAACCTGACATTCCATACATATTTGAACCCTGCCTTCAAAGTCCACATTCCCTTTGAAGCAGGGATTTAAATGTTTGTCTCCAAGCTCTAGAAATCAGGACCACTGGAGCTGGAAGGGATCTCAGAGGTCTAGTCCAATCACCTCATTTTTACAGATGTGGAGTCTGAGAATCAGTGAAGTTGTGACATTAATCATTTGACCCTGAATAAATCACTTAAGCTCTAGGACAGCATTTAAGGAAATTGCGAAATGGGGATATTCCTTAATAGGTTTGCTGTGACAAAAAGCCTAAATCAAAACCGAAGTCTAAAGCTTGGAATACAAGATGCCTTCTAAGTGCTCATCCAAACTCTCTGCTCCAACACTTCCAGTAAAAGGTGACTCACTACTTCCTAAAGCATTGCTCCCAATCTCACTTTGGGAGTAGAGAGAGATGTGTGTACAGCCTGAAGTTCTGGATTATCATTATTACTGTTAATAACAACAGCTAACATTTACATAGCCTCTTACATATTATCTGATTTGAGCCTTACAATAATCTTGGGAAGCAGATGCCATTACTGCCTCCATTTTACAGACGAGGAAACTGAGGCAGATAGGGGTTAAGTAATTTGCCCAGGGTCACGGGGCAGCTAGGATCTGAAGCAAGATTAAAACTCAGTTCTTCCTGAGGTCCAACATTTTCTCCGAACGCTTCGGCTGTTTCTGTGGCCAGGTGGTCCTTTCATGGCAAGACTGCCCGAACGTTTACTAAAATAATCCCGCCCCCCAGTACAATGAGCATTCTGGATTTCAAACCAACCTAGAACCCGGGTTCACATCCTAGCTCTAGTATTTTACTACCTGTGTCACCTTGGGCAAGGCCCTTATCCTTTCTAAGGGCTCTGCCTCTTTCGCTGGAAAAGCGAGTGAATCAATGAGCATTTAAGTGCCAACTACATGCCAGGTAAGCACAGTGGATCTAAAGAAAAGCAAGGCAGTCCCTGGCCTCGAGCAAACAGGACGGGTCAGGGCTCTTAGGTCGAGGGGTCTCAGCTCCTCCTTGAGAAGGGAGGGCGGCCCCGGCATGGGAGGCAGCCAGGAGGCCGGCGACCCTGAATGGCCGCGGGGACGGAGAGGACGGACCCTCGCTACTCCCTGATTCCAGTCAAGAGAGCGGGGTTCAGATGCGGGCTGTCACCCACAAGCTGGGTGACCTTGGTCCAGCCCCCCTCTCTGGGCCTCAGTTTCCCCGCTTGTAAAGCACCGAGGTCGGGCCGGTCGGTGGTCTCCTGCTCGGCAGAGGACGCTCACGGGGCCCGCGGGCTCGGGGGTCGCACTTTCCGGGCAGGGGGTGGGAAGAACCGGGCAGGGTCCGGGGAGGGGCCGGCCCGGCTCCTCCGCCCCCTGGCGCAGGCTCGGCCTGGGGGGCGGGGCCGGGGGCGCCTCGGGCCGGTCCCCGGGGGAGGGGCAGGGGGAGCCGGGCAGATGACTGCGGCGTTACCTCCGAGTCCCGGGCGAACGCGCTCCCCGCCGGCTCCGGCTTCGGTTCCGGCTCCAGGAACTCCGGTCCCTCATGACGGACGCCGGGGACGAGCGCCACTGCGCCTGCGCTGCCTTTCACCTGGGGGGGGGAAAGGGACCAGCCGGGGGGCAGGTCCACCTGGGAGTCACGTGGTGGACGTCACGTGGCCGCAGACCGGAGGCGGGGACAGCGCCGGGTCCAAGGCAACAGCTTGCCCACTCAAGCCTGAAGGGGCGTGTCCCCTGGCATGCGCAGACTTCTTCTGAAGGGGCGCTGCTGGCTTGGAGAGAAGTGATCGATGTTTCCTTCCCCCACCCACCCCTCCATCCAATCACTGTGCTCCTGCTGCGGGTGACCTGGCGGGGCCGCCTGGCGTGACCGAGGCACGTCTCTGCCCTCCGCTGCCCGGCGTCACGCAGTCTGAAAAAACTCTCAAAGCCGCTTGGCCAACCTTCCAGCCCGCGCCGCCAGGGGGCGCCGCAGAGCTCCGAGCTTCCCAGCAGGGGGTCGGGAGGCTCCAGCTGAATCCCGCGCGTAAAGCACCCCCGCAGACCCGCCAGCGCTAGTGGGCTGTGTGGTTGTGTCCTGTGAATGCTCCTCCCTGTGTACAGGCGGGGAACCACCTAGGCAGAGCCTACTGTGTGCCAGCCACTCTGCAGAGATTATCCCTTTGGAGCCTCACAGCAGCCCTGGGAGGTGGGTGCTGTTGTTAACCCCATTTTACTGGTGAGGAAACTGAGGAAGGCGAAGACGAAATGACTTGCCCAGGGTCACAACTAGCAAAGTTGAAGCAGGATTTAACTCGGGTCTTCCTGACTCCGGGCTTAGCGCTGCCTGCTTCCTCCACGAGTTCTTTTAACACCAGTGGTGTCAAACGCACTAGACAAGGGGCCACCAACAGGTACATAAGGACCCCTCCCCCCCGTGGGGTCATCCTGACTTAGTTTTAAAATATAACATTTTCTATGCCTTAGTGTGTTTACATTTACTTTGTCTTCCCACTACACTTTCATCTGGGTCCCAGCACCCAGCAGAGTGGTGGGTCTCACACCTCTGCCTTACACCACCCTCCCCTACCCTACACCTGAGTCCAGTGGCTCTGGCCCAGGGGTCGCTGCTCGAAGAAGACCCTCCCTCTCTTGTCTTTGGGCATTTTCTCTGGCTGTCCCCCGCCCCTGGAGGGCTCTCCCTCCCCATCTCTGCCTTTCAAGCCCCTGCTAAAATCTCACCTTCTGTAGGTGAGATGCCTTCCCCAACCCTTCTTAATTCCAGTGCCTTCCTTCTTAATTATCTCCCATCTGCCCTATCTACAGCTTGTTTGTGCAGATTTGTATGTTGTCTGCCCCATTGGACTGTGAGCTTCTCCAGAGCAGGGACTGGCTTACCTTTCTTTGTATTCCCAGCACTTAGCACAGTTTCTGGCACCTAGTTGGTGTTAAATAAATGTTTATTCACTAACTGACCAAGACTAAATGAACGAGCACTTGCTGACAGCTGGGATCACCATGAATGTGGCCTGCTGCCTCCGCAGAGGTCGTACCAGTAACTTCACAAATTAGGTCCTCAAACCGCTCTGGGCTGTTTTCCCTCCATAGAATGTAAGGTCCTTGAGGACAGGGCTGCTTAGTGTTTACATCCCCTCCACCCAGCACAGTGCCTTAAGTCAGATTTAGTGTTTGGAACTTTTAACTTGTTCCCTATTAAATAACTTATTAATGGACTTTGTCCCACAGCTAGTGTGTTCAGAACTCTTTGGATTTGACTCTGTCATCTAACTTGGTGGTTATCCCTTTCAGCGCCATATCATGTCACTGAACTCCAAATCTTGCACTATTAGTCAATCAATCAATATTTATTAAGTGTCTACTATGTGCCAAGCAGTGTGCCAGTCACTGGGGAGGCAGAAAGAGGCAAAAGAACAGTCCCTGCCCTCAAGGACACTACATTGTAATGGAAGGAGACAACAAGCAAACAAACATGTAAAACAAACTCTCTTCCTCTCTCTCTGACTGTGTGTGTGTGTGTGTGTGTGTGTGTATATATGTATGTAGATGTGTATGTAGATATATATGTAGATAGACATAGATATATGTAGATACACACACATATGTGTGATAAACAGGAAATAATTAACAGAGGAAGGCACTAGAATTAAGAGAGGTTGGGAAAAGCTTTCTGTGGTAGGTGGGAATTTAGTTGGGACTTAAAGGAAGCCAGGGAGGTCAGTAGTGGGAGTGGAGGAGGGAGGGTGTTCCAGGCATGGGGAGCAACAGAGAGAATGCCGGGTGACTGCTGCCCTGATGGAGCTCAAAGTCTAGTAAGAGGGATGCAACACATAAACAAATAACTATGATGCTGAATATTACAGGATAAAGACCTTGGATACAATGTATTTGAGGTTTAGGGAGGAAACGGTTTATAGCAACTTTGTGCTTTGGGTTAGGAGACCCAGTTAGGCTTCATGGAACATTTTAAAAATTGGGTAGAAATTCAGCAAGTGAAAAGGGAAAGAAAGGAGATATGCAGACGGATATACAGACAAAAGGACAGATGAATGGATGAGGAATGGATAAATTGGTCATTAAGCGCTTCCTAAGCACGAGGTGGGGGGGGGGGGGGAGGAGGAGCTAGGTGGCCAAAGTGGATAGAGCACCAGGATTGGAATCAGGTAGACCTGAGCTCCAATGTGACCTCAGACATTTAGTAGCTGGGTGACCCTGAACCTTGTTTGCCTCATTTCCTCATCTGTAAAATGAGCTGGAGAAGGAAATGGCAAATCACAGCGGTATCTTTGCCAAGAAAACTCCAGATGGGGTCACAAAGAATTGGACAACAACAACCAAGACTGTTTTGGGGGGGGGGGCGAATGGAAGTGGGAAGAGCTATCCAGAGACTCTGAAGTAATCTATGCAGACTGTAATGAAGGCCTGTATTAGGGAAGGGGCAGTAGGAATGGTGAGGAGGAGACAGATGCCAGAGATATTGTGGAGGTAAAATTAGGATTCTTGTTTGATCTCCCTGACTTCCAAGCATAGCTGAAGGCATGATAAATCCTGCTGATTTCACCCACTATGAATGTGCAAGGCATAAGTTCACTCGGGCCCTAAATGTTGCTCAACAATTCTCCTATTCTCTTAACCTCATTTCTCAACTCAATTTTTCCAAAACTTGCTTTCTTTCCGTAAGTCACTAACTACACCCTGGTCCTACGTGCTTATTGGAGATGAGTCAGGCCCTTACTTCATGGACAAACTGAGATGTCTTTCTCAGCTCCCTCAGCTCTCCTCCAATCCTCAAAAACAAAGCTGATTCTCTGCTGAAGGGCCAAAGCCAGCCTGGCCAGTAAACTAAGAATGCTTTTTACATTTTAAAATGCAAATCTCTTGTCTACTCTGGATAGACTTAGAGCTCGAAGGGACTTTAGAGGTCATTCAATCCACTGGTATCAAACTCAAACAGAAATGGATTTCTCTGGGCCCCATGTTGACTTAGAATAACACAAATGATCATTCTCTATATTGTATTGTATTTTTATTTATTTTTAAATATTTTCCAATTACATTTTAATCTGCTTCAGCTCCTCTGGAGTGGGCATTAAGCTAAATTTGTTTCTTTGCAGCTTCTATCCCCTGCTCCTAATTTTGCCTTCTGGGGCCAAGCAGTGCAAATCTAATCACTCTTTCTCATTAAATGATTGAAGAGGGTTATTAGGTCTCCCACCAAGGCTTTTCTTCTCCAGGCTGTTATATGCAAATACATTGGAAACCTGAAGAGAAGAGGACAACTTCTAAGAAAAATACAAAATACTAAAGTTGATACAGCAAGAAGGAACAGATTGAATAAGTAAGCCAACAACAAAGATGAAAAAAGAAAAGTTATTAAAGCGCTTCTCCTCCTCCTCCTCCTCCCTCTCTTCCTCCTCATGTATTGGGACCTGATGGATTTACTAGAGAATTTTCCTAACAATAATTCCTTATGGATTAAATTGTTTCTAAACAAAGAAAAAGATGATGTGACCCAAATTATTGTATGAAGCAAATATCGTCTTGATATTAAAACCTAAAAGATAATTCTTTAAAAAAAAAGTATAGGCTAATTTCATTCATGAATTGAAAAAGTGACCATCTGACCATGTATGCCCCTCCCATCTTAGGTTGCCCTTGCCTCTACCAGGATCTCCTATGTCCTTTGGGAAGAGGGTGGCCTGATGAACATTTTCACACCTAGGCATACCCTTCACATCCCAGTGATTTTGATTATCTTCCAAACCCAATTCCCCACTCCCACCCCCATCACTTGATACCTTATTCCTGTCCTCCTCAACCCTCCCACCTCTGAGCTTCAACCAAATACCATTAAAACCTTTCACCGTGCCCTCTGGAATGTTTGTTCCATAGATATCAAACTTTTCTTTGTCTTGATCTTTTCCTATTCTACTCCTTCCATCTTCTAGCTATTACTGAAACCTGGCTCCCCCATGATAACAGCCTCCATGGCCACCCTTTCTCCTTGGCTCACTGGTTGAGGTGGGGGAGTTGGAATACTTCTTGCTCTCCATTGCCACTTTTAGATTTTCTGCCTACCTCCATCACTCAATAACCTCTCTTCCTTTGAGGTTCATACTATTCATATCTACCACCAAACAAAATCCTAGTAGCTGTTGTCTACAGACCTCCAGGCCATCCACTTTCCTCAAAGAATTCAGTACGCTCTTCACAACTGTTCTCTCCTCCCCAACTCCTGCGTTCATACATATTTTAATATACATATTGACTCTCCCTCAAACTCCCTAATCACTCAGTCAAGTGTTCTTCAGGGTTTCATCCTGGACTCTCTTCTCTCCTCCCTTTGATACTACTTCTTTTGGTGATCACATTAACTCCCTTCTCTAGACTAGTGATTATCGAACTACTCCAGTCTCTCTACTGACTTCCAATCTCACATCTTCAACTGCCTTTCGGGACATCAAAAACTGTGCACCACTTAAACTAAACATGCTCAAAACAGAACTCATTGTCTTTCCCTCTAAATCCTCCCCTTCTCTCACCTTCCCAGGTTACTGTCAAAGGCA